GGACCACAGGTGCCCACCACAACACCTGGCTATTTTTTTTTTTTTTTTGGTTGCAGCTGTCATTGTTGTTTGGCGGGCCTGGGCTGGATTCGAACCTGCCACCTTAGGTGTATGTGGCTGGTGCCTTAGTCACTTGAGCCACAGGCCCAGAGCCGGCAAGTATTATTTTCATTATGGAATGTATGACATAGTTTCTACCAACTGGACTCATGTTTTGCTCAAAAAAACATCTTTTTTGTACTTTTGGCTTAATTCCTTAATGACAGCTATTTAACTGTATTTTGGGGAGAAAGATGAACTTTCCTTTACCTTCCCAAGTGGATTCTTGACCAGGTTTTCTGAAAACTGAGGAGGTTGAAAAATTAATGGGAAAAAATATGAAGAACACACTATTGTCACTGTCACACCTTACCAATTCTACTTAAATAACAGCTCCATGAGTCCAGTGAATAAGAAGCTGGATTTATAAAGTGACTAGATGTACCAAATTTCAGTCCGTCTTTGGAGTTCCTGAGAGTTTCTGCTCAAACATAGGGCATTATGGGGAATTCCTTGGCCTAGGGTGCTTTATAGTACTGAGTCCTTGACTGTTGGGCTGTGCTTTCTTCTACAGATGCAGAAGCTGCCTCCTTTTAACCTATTCCCCTTGTTCTGAGTCCTGTCCTACAGAATTGCACAAAGCAGACACTCTTCCTCTTCTCCCAACTAGAGCCGACCACCCTAACTCCCCTTTGCTTCTCTCTGTCAGGTCCATCTGAATTCCTAATTCCTTCGAGCCTTCAGCACAGAATAGCATGGTTCTACCCATCATCCTGGTTGTCTCCTTTGGACACACACTAGTTTGTTAATGTAATATTTAAAATGTGGTACACAGAAGGGACAATAGTGCTCTTGGCACTGTCTGACCACTAGAGCAGATAATGGGACAGCAGCTGTCCTGAGCTTGGGCATGGTGCGCCCCTACTCCAGCCTGCTGGGCATTGCCTCTTTGGCAGCCCTGCTGGTTCACTGGATGCCTGCACACAATGAAAACCCTCAGCTGTTTGTTACAAGAGCTGGTGCCAAGCTATTACTCCTACCCCATATTTATGTAAGGGATTTTTAAAACCCCATTGCAAACTTTACTTTTCTTTGTTAGCAGTTCATCTCCTTGTTTCCAGCTTACTTGATAGCTTGTTAAGATATCTTTCCTCTTGTTCTGTCTTTATAATATGAGCTTATAGCTTTGTGATATCTATAAATTTGAGCTGCATGTTTCCCCAGCTCCATCTAAACTGTCAATGAAAATGTTGAATGGCACCTTTGTATCCCTCCGTGGGAATGCCCTAGGGACTGCCTTCTGGTTGACCTGGGGACATTTATCAGTAGTTATTTAAACAGCTGGGAATGTGAATGTCTGCATGTCTTCTCTGTACTCCAATGCAAGTGTTTCTTGACTGTAGAGAGCAACCTTCCCTAAGAGATCCCCTATGGACCAAATACTCTGAGTGCCCTTGCCATGAGGTGCCTTTTAGTTAAATCAATGCCATCCAACTTTCAGATGGGGGCTGCCCCCAACTGTGGTCTTCACTGAATGTTGCTACAAATGTGCTTCCCAACAGGCCCAAGAAACAGATAGTGATGCTGAGAGCATTCGGAGTCCAACAGGAATTAGGAAACCAGGCAGTTCCATGGAGATCAGCTAATTCATTCTGCAGGTGTGGGTTGGGAACATATAAAACAGGCACAGTCAGCTAGTGCCCAGCTTGGTTTCTAACGCCATTCTCCAGGAAAGGCTAACGCTGCGTGGAGAAAGGGCTGATTCTAGGACTGGGGCAGAAAATATGTAAGACGAGCCTGGAGTATTTTGCAGTAAAAGGAAGTGTTTTTAAAAACCCTACACTATTGGCCTATGTCTAAGGGAGCCAATTAAAAGAGCTTCAAATGATCAAAGCTGGAACAACCTGAACACCACCACAATATTGGAGTATAACCAAAAGTGTAGTGTAAATATCCATGAATCCAGAGGGATATAAACCAATGACTAACTGAATGAATGAATGAAGGAGGAGGGACAACAGACAGACTTCAGCACAGGAGAATTCCAATGCTTCATGGAGCATAATCCCTTTAGTTACGGACTGCACATGGTGACTTCCTTTCTCAGAGTATAATACAGAAAGGAGGAAAAAGTAACTTTACAATATAAAGACCTGATAAACACAACCTCAGCCTGGTGACCAAGAGTCACATCAACAGTGATACCAAGTTAACATGTACCCTTGACTTGATGTGACATGAATGGTGACTTACCTCTCTGGTCTTCTCAAAACCCATAACCCCAGTCTACTCATGACAAAACTATCAGATAAATTTGAATTGAGGGACATTCTATAAAATATTCCTTAAAACTATCAATGCCATAAAAAACAAGGACCATCTAGAAACTGTCACAGTAGTGATGAGGTCTTAGAACAGAAAAAGAATATTAGGTAAAAACTAAGGAAATGTGAATAAATTAAGGAGTCTAGTTAACAATAATGCACTGATATTGTTTACTAATTGTGACAATGTATCATACCGATACAAGGTGTTAAGAGTAGGAGAAACTGGATATGGGGTGCATTTTTCTTGTTCTATCAGCACAACCTGTAAACTTATTCTAAAATAAAAAGTTTATTTAAAAAAAGATATGTGGTAGGGTTGTATGTTTTGGTCAGGGAGGATTGGAGAAGAAGAAAATGAAGAGACAGGAAACCACATTTTCTGTGTGAGAAGTACTTTCAAAAGTTAACCTGGGTAAAGCTTGACCTTTGAATAATAAGTTGAAGGTGGAGCTGAAATTGGAGGTGAGCCGTGCTTACTAATCGAAAAGACTCCAGTTTCTTAAATTAGCGTTTTGGTTCCAAGTAAACTCTGACCCCTATATTGTGGATTTGACTTTCTCTAAAATATCTTGTCATTGTTTTACCCTTTTCCCCTAATCTGTTAATATGAAAATTGTTTCAAAGAATAGATTCATTAAGCCAAAAGACAAAAACCAAAACTAAGCATCTTAACAAATGGTTTTATCCCCCAGAAATAGATAAGGTTGTAACCATTAAAACCTGTACTCCTTGTCTTACTGAGTGGAAATCACATGTACAGTTTTAAGTAGCATTAACCTTATAGGAAGCATTGAAGATTTGCTCCCAGACCGCATTCTTTAGAAACAATCGATGTTGGTCTGGAAGGAAAGAAGACCTTTTACCCGTATGTAAAGCAACTGGTGAATTATAGAGAATGACAGCTTGATTTTTATAAGTGGAATTATGGGTTCTGAGGGCACCTGTTTCATTCTGATAATAATCATTTCTGATTAATGATCTATGTCTTGTGTCCTCTGTATGATGATGTGTACAGCAGAGCAAAAAGGGAGGTTGTGAGGGACGTTCCTAACAAATATAATCAATGTAACTTTATTCTTTGTACCCTCAATCGATCCCCAACAATAAAAAAAAAAAAGAAAAGGAAGGTTGCATCTGTGTTTCACTGTGTGCAAATCCTGACTTCCCCAGCCACAGAGCGGTCTAGACAAAACTGAAGTGGGCAAAGCTTAGCTTGGAGACCCTCATTCTCTTTGCTGCTTTCATTGCTGGATGAATGCAGACTCTATCCCCTAGAAGGCCAATGCTGTTTATAAAATTTGATTAACAGTTGTACCCTGAGAAAACATTCCTTACACATTTGAAACCATGTCTCACCATCAGTCCCAACTCTGAGTAAACTAGTAAGGTTTAAAGTATCTTGCCTGGTCACAGTGGCTACTTTGGGAGTTCCAAGGGTCACAGTTGCATGGCTGACATCCTCTCCCAGGGACCAGATTCCAGTATCCGTCAGCACAATGGTCACAGCCCAGGCCTGTAACATGTGGCAGACAAGGACATTCACCAGTGACAGGGTCACAGGGGCAAGCTCCGCCACCAGGGGGACACACAGCTGGATTCACACCAGAAGGATGGCAGGAGCACCCTAGGATGATAAAGTGGCCGTTAGAGGTGCGTTCCACCATAACACTGGCGTTGAACAAACCATACCAATGGCTTTTTAGACCTGAATGTACCATTTCTCCAAAGGGCTCCAGGAAGAAACACCCTATGATAATATAGAATTTATCAAAGAATTAATGTAGGCTGAACCTATTCAATAGTTTCTATCTCCCCAAGTGCAAGTTCATATGGTTCAACCTACTGCATGCCAAAAACTCGCAGTTAGGATGACTAAAAGTCTCATATTTCCTTCGTGCCACTCACCAAAGTTCCATTTATTTAAATTATTGGAAAACAATGGTTTATTAAATTGACTTGGGTAAACTGAAACAGTTAAAATATCTTCTGAAAATGAGCAGTTTATCCCCCGTTTCTTTATCATAGAATCAAACCTTTGTCTTCTACTAGATCTCTGATCCTCATACCTATACATTAAAGTCACTTAATAACCTGTCACAATGCAGATTCCTGGGGGGCTTCACTCCCAGAGATTCAGAGGGTCTGAAATACAGCCCAGGAACCAACGTGTTAGTCCCCCCACCCCGGAACCCCCAGATGCTCTGCACAGGTGCACTGTGGACCACGCTCTGAGAAACAGTGCCTTCAGGTGATAAAGGCAACAGTCACAAAAGGCAAATTGATCACACCAGTGAGGGCACTGTAGCAGCATCTGAGAATATAGCTGTAGTGTTGCCCCAATTTTTGCTGAGGAGCTCAGTGCAACAGCCCAGTCACCCAGTGGGTGTGGCTTTTGCTGGCTGGGGCCGTCCTAACTGAACTGAGCATGGGCGAGCTGACACCACTTTTACGAGGTGCTGCTCAGACACATGCCCCCCTGGGGAGCTTTGCACACTTACTTCTGCAGGTCTGATTGAGGGCTGATCCAAAGTAACCTGGTTTGCAGAGCTGGCAGTTTGGGCCCCAAGTGTTATGCAGACATCGAAGGCACTCCCCTGTTACCGGGCTGCAGGACTCTGGATCGGTCACATCTATGTTGTTGTTGCAGGCACATGGCTGGCAAGGCGCTCCTGAAAGTTTTGGATTTCTATAGAAGCCAGCAGAGCATTCCTTACACTGAATACCTAAAAGAAGTGGGGATAAGAAGGAAATGGGTATTGTGAATTGGGCTGCAATAAACATTCTGGTGCAAATGTTTTTGTTGTAAAATGTTTTTTGTTCATCTGGATAGATACCTAGTAATGATATTGCAGAATCAAATAGCTAAACGCCCATCTACTCATGAATGGATAAACAAATTGTGGTATATGTATACCATGGAATACTATGCAGCCAGGAAAAGAGGGCCACTTTACATCTTTTATGTTTACCTGGATGGATCTGGAACATAGTTTCCTTAGTAAAGTATCTCAAGAATGGAGAAAAAGTATCCAATGTACTCAATACTATTATGAAACCAATATATAAACACACATACCTATGAATGAATGATAAAATACAAAGATAGTCCAGAAAGAAAGAGGGGAGAAGAGGGGGAGGGAAGGGGAGGGGAGAGAGCAAGTGGAGGGAGGGTATTTGGCGGGATCTCCCCTAATGTACACAGTGCAAGGGTACCTTTCAAAATAACTCAGAGTATATTATAAATGTTGTACCACAAAAAAAAGTGAGGTGATGGTTATGCTAATTAGTTCTGCATTGTATATCAAATCACATGGTACCCCATAAACATATACAGTTATGATTTCATAAAAATTAAATAAAAACAAGAAGGAAATGGGGTAAGGTCTGAATGTTGAGGGGGAGGAAATTGATGTCAATAGGGAAATACTGAGCTTGTCTAAGAACAATGACAAGTCATATACTTGGGGTGAACAAGGAAATTGTTCTATATTAAAACATTCATTTTCATTTAATATTAATTCAGAGAATAAAACAATTATTCAGAGCTTAAAAAAGGCTATAGCAAAGAATGGATTCTAATCTTTCTTCAAAACTTATAAAACTGTGGAGACAGGATTTCTAGGTCCTAATGTCCTTACCCTAGTGTGCCCCGGAGCCCAGAGCCCAGAGCTAATCTCAGCCCCGGCTCACCCTAAATAGCATTGCAACTCCCACTTGATCCTAGGGCTGAGGGTAAAATAAAGGTAAATTAAAGCAGCCTTGAAGGGAAAGTCCCAAGAGCAGTGTCAGTGTTGCCTGAGGGACGTGTCCAGAGGGAACGCAGAGCTAGTGCAGTTCTCTGGACGTTCGCTTCTCCTGCAGGGTGTTTCTGCAAGAAAGATGAGGAAGCCATCTTTCTCTCCAGCAAGTTTCTCTTCCTACAGGAAGTAATGACCCAGCTTGTGAATCCCTCTCTAAATATTTGTTCATCCACTTGGAAATCCTCATGTAGCACAAACGTGGTCTCAGTTTTGTTTGTTTGTTTGTTTGTTTGTTTGAGGCAGAGTCTTACTTTGTTGCCCTCAGTGCCATGGCATCACAGCTCATAGCAACCTCAAACTCTTGGGCTCAAGCCATCCTCTTGCTTCAGCCTCACGAGTAGCTGGGACTATAGGCACCCGCCTCGATGCCTAGCTAGATTTTCTACTTTTTTAAGTAGAGACGAGTCTCACTCTTGTTCAGGCTGATCTCCAACTCCTAAGCTCAGGCAATCCTCCTGCCTCGGCCTCCCAGAGGACGGTCTCAGTTTTTAATTTTTAAAAACTGACCAAGCAAGTCAAACTGTACATGAAGAGGTAACTATAAGGGAAGAGGTGCGAATTAGCCAGAGCCATCCATAGCCTGAGATGTAACAAATAAGGAGAAAATCAGTCATATGATTTCTTATCATGATGGAAATTATCGCTGAAGAAAATAATAGTGCCATATATATTCTATGTATGATTAAATCAAATAGACTTCATAAGTTTTTTTCCTTATTTGCATTATACATTCACGCTCATGCTTAAACTCTCTGAAATAAAATTTTAGATGAGCAACAGACAGAAATCTTGAAACCCATGCAATGTCTATCTACTGCCCAAATCAGTGCTTTAGGTTTAATTTTTAATCTGAAAAAATTAATTATATCTGTGAAAGAGTAATGAAATGGATTGCTTAGAAGTATCCAAAGAAAGCATTTGACTTCCTAAATTTCTAATTCTTAAATTGCTTTACATTAATTTATTTAAAATAAAATTATAAGAGGCAACTGTGAATACGTTATAAGCATATATAACATATATGCTATGTGATTACACAATATCTTACTTCACATGTGATATTATACTTTTAAATAAATTAATTTGACTTGATTTCATTTGGTCCATTTTCTAAAATGTATTTTTAAAAAGGTATACTCAGTAAAGTTTTTAATTGTCACTGGTTTTTGAATCCTTCAAATTCTTTGTTCAGCAACTTAGTAAATTATGTCCTCTTGCCATTTTTGTACCACTCATTTGTCCAGGGCAGATAAATTATGAACATGTGATCATTTTTCAGATTGCAGGGTGGGATAGAAGAAAAAAAAAACACCCATCATGAACCATGCTGCATACCGAGGTAACCTTGAAGACAATTGCAGATTACATCTGAGCTCCAGGGATTCTGATAACAGGAATGGGCAAAATACTGATTGCTTGAGGGGACATCTGGACACAGGCAAGGACGACAGGGCTGTCCTGAAGAAGGATTTCCATAGTAACCATCGATGCACCTGTCAAGGAAATTTCCTTTTACCAAAATGTTGCCAGGAAAAGCTCCCATGTTAGCCAATGCAGATTTGCTAGGCTTTAGAACAGAAAACTCAGTATTTTAGAAGGTGCTCATTTGCTCTGTAAAATGACTTTTTATTATAGATTGAAAGTCTCAAGGTATAGTCATTAAACTCAATATAATAGCACTTGATTTACATGCCATATTTAAGGAACATAAAAAGCAATGTGCCAGGTGAATGTGTATTATTGATTTAATCTAACATTTTCTGACTTATAAGATGATTTTAAAAGGCAATGGAACAATGATCTCCCCACCCATAGCAGGCCTTCTACACTTGAATACTTCTGAGTCTCTACTTAATGGGCCTCCATTGTGAGATCAGAACAAAATTTAACAGCCTAAATATTAGCGTTCACATGAATTCCTTACCTTTCACAGTTTCTTCCAGTTGTAAAGCCTCGACAGTTGAAGCATGATCCTGTCTCTGGATCACAAAGTTCAGCAAACCCATTACAAGGGCAAGGGCGGCAGTTGGGAAATCCAAAGTAGCCTGCCAGGCACCGATCACAGCGGCGGCCCGCCACCTCTCCGTAGCAGAGGCACTGTCCTGTTAGCTGGTCACATACTGTGTTCTTTGATCCTTGAGGGTGGCAGTGACATGCTGCATAAGGCAAAGAGAGGTATGTTGGAATGGTGTGGTGCAGGGAAGTCACAGTTCTGATTTTGCGTCCTTGTCCTGGTGAATACAGTGAGCTTGTGAAGGGCTTAGAACAGAGCCCAGCATGTGAGTGTTAGTTAAATAACAATGGATTGAGTCATTCCATCTGCAGAGGTTCTCAGCTTGTGGGTCCTGACCCCTTTGTAACAATGAAAACACATCCTGCATATCAGATATTTACATTACAATTCATAACAGTGGCAAAATTACAGTTATGAAGTAGCAATGAAAATAATTTTATGGTTGGGGGTCGCCACAACATGAGGAACTGTATTAAAGGGTCACAGCATTAGGAGGCTTTAGGAAGGTTGAGAACCACTGATCTAGAGCATGCTGTGAACAATTGGGCCTTACGAGTATTCGTTGTTTATATAGAGGTACCAACTAAGAAGCATGTTTTAACAACTTAAACGTTCCCATATCTTAAACTTCTATATAACGTTGACCCCATCTCAAGGTGGTTAGACTTCTTTTTCAGAAAGTGGTTAGACTTCTTTTTCCTAGATGAAATAGTAGAAGCCCAATCCTTTTCTGATAAATTTTGAATCCTGTGAGCCAGTCTTCCCTGTACAAAAATGTGATGCCTGTTCTCTTGATGGGGGGGAGGGGGGCAGAGTGGGGAGGATATGTCTGTTCTTTTGTTTAGATCTCTTTGTGTAGCTCAAGCATTTTGTAACTTACTTCTAAAAAAAGAAAAGAGAAAGTAATGATGGGCCTGTGCTACTCTGCTAGGTAGCCATGCCCTGGCAATGCCCTGGAAGGGAGACTGTCTCTTTGAGAAGGCAGGTTCGCCTCCCTGAAAGAGAAATTAACCTACCTGTAGATCTTCATGCTTCTTAAGGTAGGTTTCTACGGAGAATAGTATTTTCACTAGCGGTTTACACTGTGAGCAGAGAACTATAGGTTCTAAACACAACAGCTGTGACAGCTGAATTATTAACCATGGATGAGGCTCCACCGAACACCGTATCCCAGTGTGGCTTACAAAATGAGTTCCAAGGCTGTTTGCAACCTTGCATCAGAAAGGGTAATATCCTCAGCGGGGGGGTTCTGACCTGTGGTGACAGTGTTGTCCCTTTCTTGACTTTTCAATCTCTTTGTTAGGTTAGCCTTTCCAGCAACAGGGCTTACATGCTAGATCATAGAGCTGGGTTTGCACAGCCAACCCCTTCCACGGTGTTTGTTCCCACATTTCAGCTGTACTACCATCCACCTGATACAGACACAGACTTCTAGAGGCATGGACTATGTTATGTGTATTACGATTTCTGGGCTCTGTACACAGTTTCCACTAATAAATGGATGGATGAAGCATGGCAGAAAAATTTCCAGTACATTTTATCTTTGTAGGTAAACAATCTATATTATGTGGCCAAGCTCCCAATCCTTTCCTCTCTAGGATTCCCCACATCGTTTTGCCTGCCTTCAAAATAAGCAAGGTTGTGAACGAGTGTGTTCCCCTCATGTTTTTTTGCTACTTACAATGACAGCCATGATGCCCCAAACCGTAGCTTCCAGTTGAGCACCTGTCACAGCATCGCCCGGTCACACCATGTTTGCACTGGCACTGGCCTCCAAGTCGGCTGCAGCTGGACCCAACTGAGCCCTGGGGGTGACACTTGCAGGCTGCAGGGAACAAAGGAAGGGAGGTAGAGGGGGAGGAAGTGGCGGAGAAGAACCTCGCCTTGTTAGTTCACTTCTTCATTGAGATCTCTCTGATCCTCTCTTCCCTCATCTCTCTTTTTTTTTAAATTAAATCATAGCAGTGTACATTATACTATCATTATACTATCATGGGGTACAGTGTACTGCTTCTGTATACAATTTGAAATACTTTCATACAACTGCTTAACATAGCCTTCATGTCTTTTTCTCAGTTATTGTGTTAAGACATTTATATTCGACATTTAGAGAGATTGGATGAACCATAGGCGTGATCCCATCAATCACCCTCCTTCCACCCCCCATCCCCCCCTCTGCTCCTCTCCCTCTCCCCTCTCCCCATATTCCTGGGCTAAAATTGGGTTATAGCTTTCCTATGAAAGCTATAAATTAGTTTCATAGTAGGGCTGAGTACATTAGATACTTTTTCTTCTATTCTTGGGGATACTTTGCTGAGAAGAATATTTTCCAGCTCCATCTATGTAAACATGAAGGAGGTAAAGTCTCCCTCTTCTCTTAAGTGGGGATAACACTGGACCTACCTCACCAGATGGCTGTGTGGCTCAAAGGCAATATGGTCTGTAAAGTACTAAGAACAATGTTGGGCTTGTACAGTGCTCATCAACATTACTTCATAGAATACTTAAAATAAACTGTTTTAAATAATTATTCTAATATAATTACTACTCCTGATATTATTACTGCAATTCCTGATGTTCTGCACTGGTGCTGAAGTGGACCTACTGGTTTTTGATTCCCCCTAGTTCTTAGATTTCATGAGATGAATGGCACCCTGAATTCTAGCTCTGTCTTAATGGACAGCCTGGAACTCAGGAAACCTAGACTGTCATTGTAGCTGTCACTCTATAGCAATGCTTCCCAACTGAGGGAAAATTTTGGCTCCCTGAAAACATTTGACAAAGTTTGGAGACAATATTGGATGTCACGGCTCAGATAGGGTGATGCTGGTATTGGATGGATAGGGAGGTGGCTAAGCATCCCGTAATGCACAGGGCAGGTCTGCACAGCAAAAGATCAGCCAGTTCAAAATGTCAGTACTGCCAAGAGTGAGAAACTTTTCTCTATAGTTAAGTGAAATGGACAAGTTACGTAATGATTTGGTGCCCTAATACTTTCATTAATTAAGTTAAGAGTTTTGGAGGAAAGAAGCTGTTTAGAGTTCCTCCCAGCTTTAAGCTTCTAGGATTCCAGATGAATTTTTTAACACCATTGTTTCAAAAGTTTAGCATCCTGATGCTATTGCAAGGCTTCTCCTATATACATTTACTGAACTGCATATTCTGAATTCAACACGCCAGCAGACCGCTCTGTGTGTCTGATCATTGTGATGGGTGCTTTGCTTTGGAATGGATACTAAAATAAATCTATCTGTGCACATTCCAAAAAGCATTTGCACAGATGTCGGTGCTTCAGCAGAGCCCACTGAACAGATAACTCACCCACTGCCCCATCGTGTAGCTTGGCCGACGTGCTGACCATAAGCCGTTCACATGCACCAGGGAGCACTTGAGGTCCTATTTCCAAGGCAATTTTCACGCAGTTGTGCAGCTGATACTCATCTAAGTCCTGTTTGCTGTAGAAATTCTCCAATGAATTGACTTGGGGAATAAGGCCAAGCTTTTGAAATAATGAGAAAAGAAGATTTATGTTCAAACTATATGCTGTTCAAGATTCTAGTTAAATTAAATAAAACCCAGATCTATGAGAATAATGGTTCAAAGGAGACTCAGTCCAAACCTTTAAATTGATTGGAACTGTAGAGTTTTAAGATTTTTAATTTAATTGAGAAATATCTAAATATTTATATTTATTGTCTTACAGCAAAGAAAATATAATACACTTTTATCTTTTTACTAAAGATAGTAAAGATAAGATAAAGCACTAAAGATAGATCTTTTTACTCAGATAAGACTTTTAATTAAGCTACTTCTGATAAATTAATAAATTCTGGCTTAGTGTGTCCCATAGTGTTACTATGGAACTCTAATTCCATAAAATTCTCCTTTAAGTGTTTTCAACATGTAAACAGTGGTGTTCTACATCAAACTATATTGGTCTCTGGGAGATTCATAGTATAGATTAGATATTAAAGGCTCCATAAAGAAAAAAAAA